AAAGAATAATCAGAGCTTTATCACATTCATGCACTGATGGGACACACATCGGAGGCAATGAGGGGTTCAGTGTCTTGCCCAGGGACACTTCGGCATGTGAGTACTGGTGGAATTGAACCCTCAACTCTTGCATTGGAGGACAAGTGCTCTAACCACTCAACCACAGCCGCCCCAGATTGGGTGTCTTGCTCAAGGACACCACGGCATGTGGGCATGGCAGGGAGTCAAGCCGCAACTTTCTGGTTATTCTTGCCTCTACCATCTCAGCACCCCATCTGGACTGGGCAGCATCTAATGTAGTGTCTAAAAAAGTTAAGTCAGGTCCTCTGGACGGGCTCAAATAAACAAAAAAAATGTAGAAACGTTTCGTCTTTCATCCAAAAGACTTCTTCAGTCTGAGGACCAGACATAACTGTTTTAGATTTTTCTCCCTGGATTATTGAGCAGCATCAGGATATCTAATGTAGTGGTTTCCCTTTTTTTCCCGGGTAATGTCAGAATAAACGAGGGCCCCCACCAAAGGTCTGGTGTCAGCTTCATAACCCAAATACAAAGCAGAAGACAACCAGATCCAACATGCTCCATTGTAGCTTGTGTCACAATCACCTTTATTGTGTCAAATGTGTTACACATAGATTTTGTTTTGTACGTTGTCGGTGGACAAATGTTGACTGTTTAATCAAACCAAGGGAAGAATAATAAGAAATAACCTTTGGTAAAATATCCAACTGTGATGCTTAATCCTTGCAGCAACACAAATATGTACAAGACTTTACAAAGTTACACATTTGTTCAAATGACTCAAACTGAATTAGCTGAATTAATTTCACTGTTGCTGTGTAAGGTTAAATCTATACACTGTTGGTAATAAAAATCACAGCTGTGTTATGTGCATTTTGAAATGTTCTACCAACTGGAAGAGGCTGGAAAAGATGATGCGAGGACCAGGATTTTTTCCAGCATGTTTGCTGTCCTGCAGACTACAGCCATCATCATCTCTGCTTTATTAACTACAGTTTGTCTCTTTCTTTAGGGTAGAAAACTCAGCTTAAATCCATGAGGATGTACTTAATTTCTGTGAAAACTGAACCATGGAGAACTATGACAGAAGTGATGAAGTTGGAGCTGATTACAAGAGTCTCTCACTCATGGTTCCTGGATAAGATGGTGGTCATGAAGTGGAGTGAGTCCACCATGAATGCAGCGCAGAGCAACTCATGCAGACTTCTGGAGAAATGAGGGCAAAGGGAGTCCATCTCTGAAGTTGTGTGTGTTTAGCAGCAGACTACACCAAGAATTACACCATCAACCACAGACCGTCTATGCCATGAGGTGTCAAACTCACTCACAAAAAGGGGCCAAATTTTTCAGTTTCAGAAGTTACATTAACTTGAGTTAGATACGACATATTTTCTTGGTTGCAGGTTCCTTAACAAGAGTTTGATTGGTCTCATTTGACATTCCCTGCTGAACTTTTGCCATCATAATCAAATATTACTGAAAAAGTAAAGTGACAAAAGTATTTTATATTTAACATATTTTCTCGGGGGCCAGATAAGACGTCAGCGAGGGCCACATTTGGCCCCCCTGGCCTTGAGTTTGACACAAGTGGTCTATGCAGTCAACACCCTTGAAATGTTTATGTAAAACTTTAAAAGCATCATTCACACTGCATGGACACATGCATAAAGTAAGAAAAAAGTAAAGTAAAAAGTTAAAAAAAATAAGAAAAGTAAGAAAAATACATTTATCTCAATAATTGCATGTGCTCAATCAATGGGTAAGTGTTAACTGTTCATTTGATTAAAACACACACACACACGTGACCAGTATTTATATGAAAAACAAATCGATACATTTATTGGCAGTGAAAATTGAAAATAGGTCTACAAATTTTTAAAACCAGTCACCTATTTAGATCTCTAAAACCATTATCTTAGATCGTATTACTGTTTTTCTTTTACATTTTATTGTGGGAAGTAACTGGGACCCTGAGTACACAATCTCCTTCCACCACATGTACCACATGTGGTGCAAATGACTAATAAAGAAACTCTGACTCTCTGGCTCTATTATGAAAACTTATTTCAATATTTTAATTTGTTTATAAAGTGGATTTATTTTTTTTTTTTTTTACGAATACTCACCTAAAAGCCCAATGAAGTAGCATTTTTAACTAAACCTAATATGAAAAACGCGAATTTGGGACAGGGTAAGACTATTTGTTACAGTAATGTTTCCATCTCATCATCAGAGCCTTGGCTGAATGACGTCACGCGAGCCGTTAGGCGGCAGTGTCGCAAAGCTGAACGAAAGTGGAGGAAGGACAGGCTCCAGGTGTCTTTTCAAATGTTAAGGGAGAGTTGGCGTCACTATCAGAAAACCGTTAAAGCTGCCAAATGTAAATTCTTCTCTGATTTAATTGTCTCCAACTCCCACAACCCCCGAGTTCTTTTCTCCACCCTGAACTCAGTTCTACACCTCAGTGAGCCTTCACCTCTGGAAGCTTCAACTGAGCTGTGTGAGAACTTCCTCCATTTCTTTTTAGAAAAAGTGGCAAACACCCGGGCACTCATTTCTCCACCAGCTCATGATCTGTCCATCCCATCTCAGTGCGTGGCTGTGTTTGACCACTTTGAGCCCATCTCTCTGTCCTCTCTGGAGCAGGTAATGTGCAGCATGAAGCCATCTGGGTCCCCCTTTGATGTGGTCCCCCCTCGACTACTAAAGGAAGTTTTTCCTACCCTGGGTCCTTTTATCCTCGCTATTCTGAATAGCAGTTTATCCTCAGGTGTGGTGCCAAAGACTTTTAAACATGCTGCTGTCCAGCCCCTCCTGAAAAAACCTAACCTTGACCCCTCAGTCATGTCCAACTTCCGGCCTGTCTCCAGACTCCCATTCACCTCTAAACTACTGGAAAAAATTGTGGAGTCTCAGTTGAAACAGTTTTTGGGGGATCACGCTATCCTTGAGTTATTCCAATCTGGCTTCAAATCTCTCCATAGCACTGAAACTGCTCTACTGAAGGTTTTTAATGACATTTTCATATCCACAGACGCAGGTGATTCTGTGCTGCTTGTCCTATTGGACCTTATATCTGCTTTTGACACCATCGACCACAAGATCCTCTTTTCTAGACTGGAGCAGTGGGTGGGCATCACAGGGTCAGCCCATAAATGGTTTGGGTCCTACCTCTCTGACAGAACCTTCTGTGTCAATATCAAAGATTTCAGTTTGGCATCGACCGCACTCCAGTGGGGGGTACCGCAGGGGTCCATCCTCGGTCCCCTTCTCTTTTCTTTATACCTGCTGCCACTAGGTGCTATCTTCCGCAAACACGACATACCCTTTCATTTCTATGCCGATGATTGCCAAATTTACTTCCCCCTGAGGCACAGAGGCACACGCTCTATTCGATCTTCTTGACTGCCTGGCTGACATCCGGGACTGGATGTCTTTAAACTTCTTAAGCTTCAATGAGAAGAAGTCTGAAGTCATGCTGTTCCATCCCAGTGGCTCACTCATGAACTATGACATTGACCTATTCTCTCTAGCCCCGCTAGAGAAACAAAAGGTGACTAATCTGGGGGTGATAATGGACCCGTCCTTAAAACTCAACAGTCACGTAAACATGATGGTAAAATCCTGTTTTTTTCAGCTGAGACGGCTGTCTAAGCTGAAGCCTATACTCAACAAAAAGAACCTCGAGACAGTGATCCACGCCTTCATAACATCTAGGC